AGTTAATACAGTCATGGCAAAAAAATCCCTATAAAGTGTAGTACAATTTACTGCAACAGGGAAAACTACCTTCCTCAGTTACCAAAAAAATGGAAAACACCCAGTAAATGGAACACCCAGAATTAACATTCTATAATGTTATTTCTTATAACTATTAATAGGTATTTATATTTTGTGCATTTAGAAACACATCCGGCCTTTTTGTGAAGCAAAACTGACTCTACTGAGTCAGCAGGAACCAGGAAAGACACATTTTCCACATTTTTACAGCTGTTACTGTTAGGAAGCCTTTCCATTAGCAGAGACTAAACATCTTTTCCTCCAGTTCCAAAGAGCACCACCTTGTCTTTTGAATTTAAAGTGAAAAACTTTCCACCATATCTACTATATGCTATTATTTATAAAAGTAACCATATAAACCCTTTATGGTCTCTTCTCAAAGGTAAATAAATTAAATTCAGCTAACCTTTACTCATAACTCAGGGCACGTATTAATTTAGTCGCCCTTCTATGCTCTCTTTCAAGTTACACAACATCCTTTGTGTTAACTGCTGCTTAAAAGTCAACTGCATTCTCTAGATGAGGTCTTATTAATGTGGTATATATATGGATAGATTGCCACCCCTTACAAATTCCAAAAAAACAATATTAGGACCCATGTCCTTCTGTTTGCACTAGGCAGACTGAAGTCCAAATAGCACAAATAAAATGCCTTCCATGGGGTATCGTTGATTTTTAAATTTGTACCTCAACACAAGAGATCAACATTAACAGAAAACCAGAGACATGCTGGACCTGCTCCAAAATGCTACAGATGGAAATTGTTTGTTTCTTGAAAATGGTGACCTGGAAGAATCAACAGGCAATAAAACTATGTGACAGAGTGGGACAGAAGCAAAACTAAAACAATTCAGATGACCAAAATACGACTAAAACGAAATGCCATTTTAGTTTTAGTCGTATTTTAGTTTTAGTCATATTTTAGTTTTAGCCGTATTTTAGTCATCTGAATTGTTTTAGTCCAACCGAAGGGCTGCTGTAGGGGCTATTGACTATAGCCCCTACAGCAGCTAAAGGCGACCAAGCTGCTCACCCGAGCCCAAGGCATATGCCTAGGCTTGACTGAGTTGAAGTGACAGCCAAAGCGGGGCGAACGGCCTGCCAAAGGCCGGCCTTTTGCCCTGCAAATGACAGCTGGGCGGAGATGGCCATGACGGCATGGTCGACTCCGCTCAGTTGATATTCATTGTCTGGGACCTACTAGAAGACTCTAGCAGGTGCCAGGCAAAAGGAAGCAGTTGGATGGAGCTAGCTGTCACTGCTAGTTACGCCTAATTATTATTTTCTCTTTTTAAAAAAATCTTTATTTATTTTTACATTGTGCTATTTATTAAAAAATTTTAATTTTTTTCAACCTATTTTTTTCATTGATTTTCTATTCTGCTCGGTACCACGGAGGTACCGAGCTGAATAGCCAAGCCGAAAACCACTTGGCAGCATTCGTCTATTCACTCACTGCCATTGGGCCCCTATGTGAAGGTCGGAGCATTGGCTCAGCCGATCCAGATGTTGTCCTTCTGCACTTCGGCTCAGCCAAACATGAAGAGCATGTTCGTCTGACCGAAGTGCAGCCCAAGGCAGCCGATGTACAGCTGATTTCAGCCGATGTACGGCTGAAGTCAGCCGTACTGAGCCGGAGTGAATAGCCAAACGCTTTGTGAATAACCCCCTTAGTTTTCATCACTGAAAACATGCAGTTGACGAAAACTACGAGGAAAAGTTTTAGTCCACAAAATTGACACTGTTCACAATTTCTTGTAGGCATCACTGGCTAAATCACTTCCCTCATTTAGCTTGGAGTAAAAAAACAAAAACAAATTTAAAGTTTATGTTTTTCAGATCAAATTAAGTGATGCGGTACACTTTGCATAGACATTATTTCAACAATCTCTTATACGCCTCATTTGCTAAAGCACATCTATCATTTAGGTTTGGAGGAATAAAAAAACAATTTTAAATTTCAAATTTTCACATTAAATTGGAAGTAATATAATAAACACTGCATAGGTATCATTTAAAAAAATGTCTTGTAGGCCTCATTTGCCAAAACACAAACCTTATGCAGCTTTTCAGGACAAAGACTAAAATAAATACATATTTTTCACTGTTAGAAGGAATATTGTACATACTGCATAGATAGTATTTGAACAATCTCTTGTAGGCCGCATTTTGAAAATGATGCACCACACAGCACATACATAAACATTTAAGTGTATATATTTAAAAATCAACTTAAGAGTGTATTTACTACACAGAACAAAAACAGATAAATATTGTACTCAAAATACATCATATACATCAAAATAAAGAAAATTTAAAATTTACTTGGTCACATTTTGAACAGGAAAAGCCTTTTAATTAAAAAAAAGTCACCATGAGTGTGTCTTATTTCACAATAAAGTCATCAAAATATTTTACTGACTGCATACACAGTATGCACCTTTACTAGGCCATAGTTTTATGGGGGGAGACCAGGCAGGTTTAAAATTTTGAAATAAAACCCAGAGTAAACAAGGAAACACAGAGCATGATTTAAGCTGCAGCAAACACTTCACAAACAGACCGTAAACACCATAAATGAGGACCAGCTGCGAAAAAAATGGGGGGGAATTGATCAATTTGGTCTCGTCATCGCATTTTTTAAACTATCACATTCCTGATTTCTAGTGCATATAGCAACAGTCTTGTTACCCTAGTTTATGTTTTATTCCTAAATTCATAAGGAGAATTGTCTCTAAATTGTTTCTGTCTCTAAACAGCCTCAGAATTGTTGCAAGCTGGTCGAAAATGAACGAAAATGTGTCCAACTCCAGGGAGGGAGTGCAACGTACTCTTACAATTTCTTCCGTGTACCCCCAGACCCTATTTTGTCTAAACCATAGCAAAACAGGAAAAGGTGGCACACTACAAGCCATAGAGCGTGAAGCAACACCAGTTTAATTGATCAAACCCCCCCCCCTTAATCACCATGCCAATAAGTGTGCGGCGTGCTATTCATGCCTCATTTTCTTCTCAATCCTTTGAAGTCACCAGACGGTTCGAATAGTGCATAACATTTTTCGTTTCAATCCTTTCAAGGCGGCAGGCAGTCCACATACTGCACCACATATTTATTCCCAATCCCTTCAAGGTGCCACTCCTAATTCTTTTAAAATGTTGGCAACTACAGTTTATTATTACGCTCATTCACACGAGTTATAGAACTGATTTTTGCACTTGCTGACCGGAAATGTAATGCACACTGTTACATACTTCAGTCCAGTTAACATTTAAAAGGCAATCAAGACCTTAGACTGGCCATTTCATTGGGCAGTGTATATTCTCAGAATACAGATGGCTTTGGATAGTAAACACATATATGTGCATGATTGGCACATATCTGTGTGTAACATCTGGTGCTAATTTTCTCATAGGCAAATGTTTAAACCACTTTTATTTTGGTCTTGAAAAAAAATGCTTTTTTTCAAATGATTATAATCCAGAGAAGAATGAAACAAAGGTCATGGTCTATGGATTTGTGTCACAGTTCCATTCAATAAAATGTGATTGAGATAAGATGCTATGGATGGATGTCAGTTTCTTTGTATGAATAGGATGCCCAGCCTTACCTAATTAAACAGAAGGGCACACATTCAGTCTTAAACACTTTAATGATGCTTGATCCTCAATAGTGAGTCAATATTGAAACATGCTCGCCTCTAAGGTATTAAAAACAGATGTGCAACACCATTTCCATATAATTTAACATCTCTTTTTAAAAGCACTAATCAGATGTTATGTCAATGGTACCATGGCAATAAATCTCTTCTGGAATTGGTAATAGTCTGGTTAATTAATACAAATACATTCCTTCTCATAGAACCTTTGTAACAGAAAGAACATGTAATCTCCGTGCTATATTAAAGTGTTTACTAACCCTAATCTGGCAAATAATAAAAAGATTGACAAATGTACATAATATAAAAAAATTCAGATATAAAAAAAATCAAACACCAGAGCTTAGGCACCTGATGAAAACGTCATACTGGAGAAACATCTAACCAATCTGTAAGTTTTGTTGTAAAATTTTTTAGAATGGTGAAAAAACAATAAATATGGCCAGGTATACTTATAGCTCCACAATTCTACCAATTTTGTAACACCAGAACGTAATAGATCTTATTTCATATTGTATTACAAAGAAAAGATATGATGGGCAAGGAGTAGCTAATAACCAAACAGCCAGATTTCAGTTTCTTGAAGCCTGAATGTCAGATAAAGATTTGTGGGCCCTGACTGCAACAAGCTGCTCTCAGTGCAGCCAGTGTGCCCCCTAACTGCCCCCTTTCTTACCCATTGTTTAAAGGGTTTATTGAACCCTATGGACAGTGCTGCTGTACACACAAACACTTGAATGTTTTGTAGAGCAGAGTGTAGGCATAGCTTCATGTAGGTGGGGTCCATGCGGCTTCGTAATCGGCCCCAGAAAGCATCATTATAATGAGTTATTCAGGAGGGCAATGCAAAAAACCTACCCTACTGAGTATGAACATTATGCAGTAACAGCTGTTTTGGAACTGTCCTAAGCCTCAATCTACAACAATATCCAGGTTTTTAGACTGTGAAAGACATTAAGCTTTTAAAGATGGTTTTGAGCCAGCTGTTCTTGGACTTGCTTTAATGAAGTGTATAAATGTCAATAACTGAACAGCGTTTACGGTCTGTTTGCATATATACTGGAGCTTGACAGAATATGTCACATAGCATGTGAAGGCTAAAATGAAATAACAGAAGGCCTAAATTAAATGAATGCTAACAAAACCTTGGAGTGTTAAGCACATTTAATATTCCCTTAATGCATTTATAAACTTTATATCCTTTTCTGCTCTGAACCCTGTCTAGGAAGGTTCTTTCTGTATTACTGTTGACATACAAAGCCCTTTAGCAAAAGGTCACCCTTAAAATGAACTATGGAGAAAGTATGTATCACAAATGCAAAATAAATTAAAAAAAATACACCTGAGCACATGTTTTATCATGTACTGCAGCTGAAAGGTACATCCTGTATCATTGTCAGCATGCAAATTTAAAACTAGAACAAAACAATGCCCGGAAAAACAAAACATTCCAGTGACAATTTTTGTCAATTATAGAATTTGCAAATACACGCAAGATAAAATCAATCTTCCAAAATTACAAAATATATAAGAAGAATATAAGAAAAATTCCTGAAAACGTATGTGTAATCTAAATGCCATTAAATGCTATATCTTTTGTATATATTTTACATATAACATACAGTACATGAATAAAATCCATGACATTTAGAACATAGCACAGCACAAAGCCACATTCTTTGCAAACTTTGCTTCTATTGCATTATTTCTATACAGTAATGTTAAAAGTTAGTTCCATGTTATTCTTTGTTTTAAAGAACTGTTTTAGGAGTTAATAGTCCTCTTCCACTCTTTGTAATATGAATTGTATTGTATCAAAGCGGAGACTTATTTTTAACTCCAGCTTTATTTTAAAAAAATCAAATATTTAATACCCTGAGCTAAAGTAAAAGAAAAATAAGCTCTTACAGCAATACTCACTCTAGCTCTGGTCCTGTAGACCGCAGACTCACCAACTTGTGATCCAGTGCTTGTCTTCTTCTGGGTTGAATGACACCCAGCTTCCTTCAACCAATTTCCTTTGAGCACAGGGCATCAAGTACCTGACCCCTGGACCGGTGTCATGTAGTCGCTCTGGGCTCAAAAGAGAATGTTGCATAGAACACCAGAACATAATTTCATAGCCCTCTCTGGAGAATTGAGGACCCCTCCACCATTGGAGGAAGAAGAGGAGAGAGAGGACTTGTGATGTCACAGGACTGGACTGAAGAACCATTGAAAAAAGGAATGTATACTAAAATTAACAAAAGGGTGAGGGCTGGAAATGGAGGGTGAGCATCTAACCTGTAGTTAGCCTATAATGTGTGCAGTGAGATAAGAAGCAGTGATGTGCACATAAAAAGGCAATCGTACAGGGTGATTTAAATCCCTTTTAGTGCTTGATGCAATAATCATTACTTTATCTCAGCATGCAGGTCTGTGCACTGAGCTGTGCATGCATGGTTCAGTCTCTTCTGCACATGCATTAACTTTAACAGCCTCTTCTGCCAAAAAAGCCTGCCGGGCAGTGGACTGAGCAGTTTGAAGGTGCTCCTGTCAGCAACCACTTTCCTATCTTCCAGAGCCTAACACAGACCTAGAACTGCTCTTCCCCAAGTTGCAGGACTGCTGAGCAAAGGACCTCTGGACTATTCTTTGCCTTCCCTTGCAGCAGGCCTGGGAGCCTATGGCAGAATCCCACACATAGGCTTCCTCTCCAGACAAAGCCATAGAGACAAGGACCTTTCTAGAAGTGTTACCTGACTATGTACCTACTTCCACAGGCCGCATCACTGAAAATAAACATCTCAGTAATTGTCCAAGGTGAAATATTCATGACCTATAACATCCACTTGTCTTATCTGATGGAGAACACTGCTCAGCTATAGAAAATTTAAACAATGCCTTATTCCTAAGGGAAACCCAACAAATACAGAAAACAATAACAAGGTTCTTCTAAAATCTTCCCCCAGGCTGAGGTTCAGACTGAGGTATGGATGTCCAGCTATGGGAGTTGAGGAAGGACAGTTAGACTACAAATTTCTGATATGTCACAACACTATGCGTCCAGCTGTGCTTCTCTAGCCTAGATACGGGGCTATAGATATTGGAGAGCGCTTGGGGATATTTTCAGCCATGTTTCCAAGCCCTGCCTCCCTGCCAGACCTGTGATCGTGCTGAGAAGGGACACCCTAGGTGGCAGATGGGACACATATTATAGTTCGCAGACATCAATTCTTCCAAAAGAATGGAAGCAGAAGAAGCATCCTGCAATTCTAGTAAAGGTGCAGTTGCTGTGTACACTGTGCACTGTACATCCCCCCCATGAGGTGCACAAATGACTGATCATGTACACCGTACGTGGTCAGCTATTTGGAGCTGCCAAAAGCCGGTAACTGAGATCAGCAGTTACCGTTCATTAATGGATGCCTCATCCATGCATCCATTAATGAAAGAATTAAGCTTTGACAGATACCTGATCGCCTGTAGCAATGGGGTATCTCACAGTAATAGCTGTGCGGTATTTACCACACTCACTATCACTGTTTCACAGCTGAACACACGGAGATTAGGAAATACCGATGTGTACCAGAATTTTGCTACATGTATCAGAAATAGAAACATTTAGCGAAATATTTATTTGTTGAAACATTGTATCAGACTTCTGATCATTCTGGGAACGATCAGAAGTCTTTAGTGAGATCTGTCCTGGCATGCTGCAGGATCCGCATTTCAGGATCAGTCACTAAAGTTATTATTGGCTATTCCCAAGTTTAGAGCAGCCTAATAATAACCAAAAATTTAAGAACATTATTAAATTATCAAGCAGTCATAGTGAGATCTATTCACAATGACTGCTAGATATAATTAAAATAAAAAAGTGTAAAAAAAATAGTGGAAAGTGTAAAAACAAATCAATGTAAAACATTAAAAACTATATGAATACATCTTATACTATAAATAGTATAAAAATATTAACCCTTTACAATGCAAATCTGCAGCTGAGCTCATTTTTTTATTTAACCCCCTCATGACGGCAATGTTCAAAGAATGCCATATTCAACTTTCAAAAGAAAAACTAACTGAAACAAAATGTTCTATCCATCATGGTTTGGCATCTGATTATGCTTGTATAGGATACCTATAATTATGAGGTGTCAGCTATTATCATCTTGCATTGTCTGATACACAATAATGGGAAAATTATCTCAAAATAACGTGATTATACCATTTTCCCTCTTTTTAGAGAAATACTACATTTTATAGGAACCATGATGCTTAAGTGCAGTATGTCTTTTGTTTTAATTTACTATCTGGTTTATATTGTTTTTTTTGTCTATAAAGGCTACTTTACTGCACAGTGTACAGAATACAGCAACATCTTCTTTCTCCATCAAAAATACCCTTTTCTTTCTGTTATCTGCTGTCTGACTGGACTCCATTTTACTTAAAATCAGCAGATCAAGCAGCTTAAAACAGTTGTAACCCCAACCACAAAAATCTCAAATAATCGTTATCGTAGTAATGTACATTGAAAAGCAATGCTCAATTGTGTTAAATGTTCAGCTTTCATTAACCTAATACCTGGTAATCCTTCCATATGGGTCTTTGTTTAGGTACTTCCTGTTCAGGGGTGACAACGCTCTGTTCAAGGTCTTCCAATTGCTAGAAAGCAGGGGTCTTAAACTCAATTCACTCAGGGGCCACGGGACAATGTTTTTTCTCCCATGGGGCCGCATGACAAATTTCATACTGCAAAATAAAATTTAACTATATACGGTAGCAGTTATTAAATTAGGACCCGGAGACTGCCAGATGACCCCGCTCGGAGCGCCGCCCGCCGGAGCAGCAGTGACGCGACGCTCGGCGAGGTAAGTAAGAAGAAAAGAAAAAACATTGCAAAGTTCTCGAGACGCTGACTCGATTATTAAGCCGAGGGGGGCATTTTTCAGCACAAAAAATGTGCTGAAAAACTCGGCTTATACCCGAGTATATACGGTAATCTTAATCATAGAGGTCCAACAGATTCACATATTCATTCACACACAGAAATATGAACACACACAGAAATACAACCACCTCCCCTCACACACACACACATACAGAAATACATATAGAAAAACGCAAAAACGCACATGCATAGAAATACACAAAAACAGAAATCGGCACACATAGAAACATGCACAAATAGAAATAAACACCCACCCCCCAAACTAGAAATATACACACGAATATACACACCATAAGGCCCTATTCACACCTGTAAGTTTAGGTGCGAGTAGGGGTTCCTGTGTCAGGAACTTATATTTTCCTGCAGCAGGAATCCCTATTCTGGCGTTTGAAAGTGGCAGCTGTCACCCATTCAAGTTAATGATCGAGTGGCAGCCACTGCATGTAAACACCTGCACACTGCATGTAATGATGTAATGGTATGTGATTATATGTGGTTAGGAATCAATCATTATCTCTGTACGCATCGATCGTGCATCCAGTGAGAGTGATTGTTTTCTAACTGCATGTAATCATATAATTTACCATTATATGCGGTGTGTCGGTGTTTACTTGCAGCAGCTGTCACCTGAGCATTAACTTGAATGAGGGGCAGTTGCCACTTTTAAATGCCAGATTAGTGATTCCTGCTGCAGGAAAACACAAGTTTCTGATGCAGGAATCCCTAATCACTACTAAACATATATGTGTGAATGAGGCCTAATACACACACACACAGAAATACAAACCTGCCCACCCTCACACACACACACTAATACACAGAATAATACACTCCCCCTGTTCCCTGCCCCCCCCCTCCCCCCACACACACTCATATAAAATGAAACAAAGAGCCCCCTCACCTGCTTATGTTTTTTGCAGGGAGGAGTCAAGGAGGCACAATCCCTGGTGATCCAGTGGTTGATTAGTAAAGTCTGGAGCCGACCTTACTAATCCATCCTTTAGGCCAGTGCTCAGTGAAGACTGTCAAAGTGCTGGCTGAAAGTTACTGCATACCGCCACAGCCAGAAGCAGCTATGTGGTCTGCATCCGCCAGAGATGCAGACCATGTAGCTGCTCTCGCAGGTCAAGTAAGCGTTCCGTGACCGCGTGCCTGACTTGTCAGCTGGCTGCGGACCACATAGTACCGGTTTGCAGGCCGGTACTTTGAGACCCCTGCTTTAAAGTGCTTCCAGAGTAACTATAAACAATTAACAGCCATACTGATACTCATTGTGTAGATAAGTTCTTCTATTGTCACTATCAGAAGGCCTACCCTTTGCATATAGACAGTAAGTGCTTGCAGAGAGACTGGAATAGATCAGTAGCACTGAGATCCAAAAAAGGCTGACAACAGCATTTTCTGAAATAAAAACAACATGACAGTTGTTTTGATACTCAGTCTTCTAAGCAAATTAAATGTCATTGCACTAGGGTCTACATATAAACCTACATGGTACCCTATGCGTTTGATGTATAAAGTATGGGTCCTCACTTCAGTATTTGCCCTTACAGTATCTAACATAAACAGATACAGTTGATGTGTATTTTAATCTTATTTACAAATTTAATGGAATTATATAGATTAGAAGCTGAACACTGGTAAGGCTCATTTTCTGCACATACATTAGGCATGCACCTTACAATTCAGAATTTGCCCCATTGTAACTCAAGCCCAAACTACTACTAATATTTCAAATTTTGCTGTTCATTCTAATGTATCACTTGTACAATAACTTATAACAGAATAAGAATGATTCAGGAAGATTCAATAAAATGTTATAAACCTGAGCCAAAAGGAATTGGGTATGTAAGTACCGGGTCAGAGAATTTATTCAACAAATAATGACTAAATTCCAAGCTAATTTAGGACATTTAGAAAGCATTTCCCTAAGTGGTAACTAACATCCAAAGTGTTCATTAGTAGCGGCATAATGGCAAAGATATTCCGCTATTTTTATTTAGACCTGCTAATCATAGTAAGTACAAGTGGCAGTGAAACCCTGATGTGGGTTTTGTTACCTGCACACTTACAGTGTTAATAATCTGTTAAAACTGTTTTACACTTTAAAAACATTAACTGAATACGGCTGGCAGGTCTCCTCGCAAGTGTTTTCATGTAAACTGTCGTCTGCCATTAGCTTTTGGAGTTTTGGACTCTTGGGTAAAGTTGGCAGAAACCCATGCTTGAGCTACATAGAGAATGCACTGATTAGATTATGAAGATGAAGTGTAGACTATGCATTTGGTAATTAGTATAAGTGTGGATGTGAACGGCATAATAGACTTCACAGGCAGAAGATATTCAGTTTTCTTCTGGCCAGACTAGACATTATACCCTGCATATGAAATTTACACAGTGGTGGTTTGTATGTGGTCAGTAGAAACTGATTTATAATGCATGACACTATAGATGTGTCTACATTATATTCTAGATGGTAAGATACCTTGAAACATCATAGGCATAGGACAACCACAACAATTTGTCCACTAAAATATGGGCCCTGATCAAGAAACACATAAGAACAACCTTTCATTTGTCCTAGCTCTATTGGTTCAAACAACATGTTTTTTTACAACATCAAAGCAAAACAACAAAATTAATTTACAAAACCATGAACCATTTTAATGCCGGCAAGATAGCATCTGCCAACAAAGTCATGACAAAAAAAAACAGCAAGGATGCCGCCCCTTTTCGTCAGGGCCAGGTTTGACGTCTTGGCTTAGGTATAGGCAAAGACAGGACCGGGCTCTGCAGCTGGAACTAGAAGAATTGGATTTAAAGTGTGTGGCTATATAACGTATGAGGTACATACTCCGCAGTACTGTCACTGATAGGGATGGGCTCGGGCGTGTTCGCAGCTCCACGTGCCGAGCCCGCCAGGAAGCTGACAGCGCCAATCACAGGCACTGAGACATTTCCCAATCTGTGCCGCTGCGGACCGGGAAAATGGAATGCATAGCTAGATGTGTGTTTTACATATTTTGTTGCTTGAATACATACATATTGCACCCGCCCTCTGCTGCTGTCAATCACTAGAAGGGGACCTGATGGAGAACTTCAGGTCCCCCTCTGCTGATTGGCAGCATCAGAGGGCGGGTACAATAGCTAGTTTGCTATTGGCTTTTGCAAAGTGAAATAGCCAATAGGAATCTAGCTATGCATTCCTATGGTGGGTTTTTTTTTCTGACTTACGGCGGCCCCCTATTTTTCCGGGAGAAAGTGTTTCTCTCCCGGCGGCCGAGAGCCACTAGGCGACTCCTGGCAAATCGTCATTCGACCCCCGAGGGGGTCCCGACCCACAGGTTGAGAACCACTGGCTTAGGAGATGATCCTGTGATAATGTTAATGTTCTTGTTATCATTTTTGAATGTGCAGTATATGTTCTTATAATGCACCTTTCTTAAAGGTGGTGCTGTTATTTAAAGTACCACTCATTGGTGTCATGTTCAGTTTATGTGCACCTTCAGCCACAGCTTACCACCATCCTGTTGCCACTACCATTCCCTACCCTGTCACCAAAGACTATCAAATGCAATATAGCACCCCCTCACTTCCCCAACACCAAGCATAAATCACCACCTGTCCCTAGCTTTCTTACCTATTTTAGACCCTCCCTCTCCTCCTCTTTCCCTTTCCTTTTCCTGGTATCCCTTATCTGATCCCAGGTTCACCGCTTAGGGGGTGCTCAGACTCTGTGATGCTTAACTTTGAAATAGCATATTTCAATGTCAGGGGCCACTATATCATGGAGAAGCACACCAAGCTACCACACAACCTCCCTTAATGAAGGCTCAGATCACTTTCCTCCAGGAGACTTATTTTTGAAAGCATAAGATTCCTAAGCTAAAAGACAAGAACTGTACACTGGTGTATCATAGGGCTTCAGCCAATGCCAGATCAAGGGAAGTGCGTACCCCTGCCTTTATTCAGGCTAGTTTTCTCAATTTTACATAAATGGGTTCTTTTACACCTCTTTTAAACCAGTCTTCCTCCCTGTCTAGGATGTGTACTTGGCTGTCTTTAAATAGTCTTTAAATAGACTGTCTTCAAGCTTGACTAGAGGTGGGGATGAGACATCTATTGTCTGCCACATACAATGCACACCTCTCTCTGGGTGTGGGTTTATAACGCATGCTAGCTCCAATTATGCAAATTAAATCAACACCTTACCTTCATGAGGTCTCTGACCCCATGCTGGTTATGATAAACAGACTAAGTTGATTGGAGCAGCATTCACCATATTTAACCCCAGATAATTTTTGTACGAGTCATTTTTTATTGAGAAAGCTGGTTGGATGATCAGTGAAATGTATTCAGGAAAAATAAAGCAAATCCAGTTGCCTTTATTTATTTTTTACAGATATACCATGGACTGGATAAATGCAAACCTTCACAGACATACAGGCTTTTCTGAATTAGTAAACAAACTTGTCCAAGCTAAGCACTTTTTGAGTATGGCAACAAGTGTGATAAAACACACTTACATTGCCTACATACAATGTAGTTATACCTACATTGCCAACATAAACACCAAACAAGGTAAAAGATTTCAAATATTCAAAGGCTTCTCTAATACCTGCAAATGTTTTTATGATGTGCTTGCATGTGCCACTAACCTTTGAAGAATGTTCCTTCATATTCATTAGACATGTGCGATTCGTTTCGTTATGAATCGAAATTCGTACGAATTTTCCTGAAATTCCGAATTTCGGAGCATCCGAAATCCGAATGGCAGTTTCCGAATTATATCCGAAATACGAAATTCCGTTAACGAATTTTGGATCCGAATTTCTTTGAAACAGGAACTAATATTACCCCTGTAAATGAGGTTGAACAGCATGACAAGATTTTTTTTTAATCCGAGATACGGATCCGCTGCTGCTGATGCATTACAATACACAGTTACACACACAGGCAGGAAATACGAAATTCCGTTGACGTATTTTCGTTCCGTTACGAACATTCGTTATATTAAAGTTAAAAAGCAAAGTACATTTATATTGGAGTTGATGGTAGTTTTTTTTTTTTAAGTCCGAAATACGGAATTCGGAATACGGAATCCGTTAACGGAATTCGTATTTCGTTTTGGTTGACCAATCAGAGGTTCTCTTCTGCTGCTGAGAGTTGCATTACAAATACAGGCAGGAAATACGAAATTCCGTTGACGTATTTTCGTTCCATTACGAACATTCGTTATATTGAAGGTAAAAAGCAAAGTACATTTATATTGGAGTTGATGGTAGTTTTTTTTATAATCCGAAATACGGAATTCGGAATACGGAATCCGTTAACGGAATTCGTATTTCGTTTTGGTTGACCAATCAGAGGTTCTCTTCTGCTGCTGAGAGTTGCATTACAAATACAGGCAGGAAATACGAAATTCCGTTGACGTATTTTCGTTCCATTACGAACATTCGTTATATTGAAGGTAAAAAGCAAAGTACATTTATATTGGAGTTGATGGTAGTTTTTTTTTAAATCCGAAATACGGAATTCGGAATACGGAATCCGTTAACGGAATTCGTATTTCGTTTTGGTTGACCAATCAGAGGTTCTCTTCTGCTGCTGAGAGTTGCATTACAAATACAGGCAGGAAATACGAAATTCCGTTGACGTATTTTCGTTCCATTACGAACATTCGTTATATTGAAGGTAAAAAGCAAAGTACATTTATATTGGAGTTGATGGTAGTTTTTTTTAAAGTCCGAAATACGGAATTCGGAATACGGAATCCGTTAACGGAATTCGTATTTCGGATAAAAAAACAACTACCACTCCAATATTAACAAAGGTATTTTGCTTTTTAACTTCATCATAACGAATGTTCGTAAAGTTACGAAAATATAACCGCCACTAACGAAAATTCGTATTTCGTACGAATCCGAATCCGAATTGAGTTCAGTTACGAATTACGAAATACGAAATAATGGATATTCCGAAACGAAACGAAACAGAACAAATTTTTTGACAGCGCACAAGTCTAATATTCATGTCAACATATTACAAGATTACTTATCACAACACTTAAAACAGGCATTCAAATCTTTTTTTCCTGGAGTAGACTTACTGTACATCTTGACCAGGTGGGCTTTCTGATGCCCAGAGGAGATGTTAGGCAAAATGCTACCAGGGCCATAGATTGTTTTCACTCAGCACAGTTAATGGCTATTATCCACAGGTGACAAAAAAGCCTCTGTCTGGGTCGATTGGACATTTATGGAGCAGGGGCCTAAACATGTGGGATTGGGGAAGCCCATGTTCTCTCGTATTCTAGCCCTGTACTTCTTCCTGAAGGCCAGAGTCAAAAAAAGGGGTGGACTAATGACATTGTGGCTTCTGTGTATGAGATTTGCAGTTCTCAAAGCCACAGTAGGCATTGTGCTAGTGTACATTTAAAAGAATGGGCAGTGATCCTGGCCTTGGGATAAACCTCATTAGAAATATTTTTTTTACATAACAATAAGGATTGAAAGGCATTTGCCTGGAGTTCTGTTTTTAAAACAGAATGCAGTATATCTTTTTCATTACTGTCAATGTAATTCTGTAGAATGTTGTGCCTTCTTGGAGAATTTCCTACAAAAAAAAAAATTCAATCCAATAGAAATATCAGCTTCTCTAGTTCACTAAATGATCTACCTAACATAATCATTACATTTAATTTCCACAAATAAATGCAAACATTAAGGAAGATAACTGCTTTAGGATTTACAGCAATTATTATGTAGTTACATTTTACTTGGAGCTTATTATAGGCTTACAATTACAGGCTTAAATGATAAGCACACCTTTAACACAACTCCCTGGATTCAGTTTCTTCACTGTAAACTTTCAGATGGAACCATATGTCTGCAAGATGCTCAGAGTTTACACTTCCTGACCTGCCCAGGGGTTAATAAAACGTAATTAAACTCTGATGCTTCCAATAATGCGCTTATGCGCTAAGTCTGTCATCCAAAAAAAATGGTTGCTTCTGTTCTGAATTCAGTTCATGCTCTCAAGAAAGCTATTATTCTCAATGGCTAAAGTGGATAAATGCACCAGTTTCCAAAACATGCTGGACATGCTGGAGGAATGTCATGGCAATGTAAATTTGACTTTGGGGGTCATTTAGACAAGAAACTGACCCTGGAATGTATAAAGTGTGTCTACGACACTCTTTAGAATTACATGGTGCATCTGCATGGCAAATGTCGGTGTTTGCCCCAGATTTATGTACCTGTTGGAAACAACCACTGTCTGACTGATATACACTGGTGTTAACAACTGACTGACCTTAACAATCACTGAAACTGACAGTGTGTGGTGTCTGATGAGGATGTCCAGGGACTAGTTCCCCACAGGTCCGCTCTTTTAATAATTGACAGCAAGCAGTTGGTGGATTCCATAGCCAATAACAGGTTGTCTATTGGCTGTGGAATCCAATAGCAGCCCAGTGTCTGGCAGACCGATAACCTAGCAACAGGGCCGGATTTACTCTCCCTGGCTATGCGCCCCCCCTCTCCGCATCCCCCCCTCCATCAACGGAGAATGGCAACTGGATGGCAGGGGCGGCAGGGTTAGTTTTATTTATTTTTATTGTTTCTTTCTTTTTTTATCACTTTTTTAATTTTATTTTTACTTTTTTATATTTTTAGCTTATCATTTACTTTTTAATTTTTTTAGCTTATTATTGTTTATTTTTTATAGTTATTGTCTTATTTTTTATAATTTTTTTTCTTATTATTTTTTACTTTTTAATCACCTTTTTAATTTATTTTTATGTAATTATTATTTCTTATTATTTTTTTTTCACTTAACTTTATTGCTATCACACAGGAGCTAGCTAACAAGCCCCTGTGTGATAGCCTTTGGAGGTGACAGGTTCTCTTTATTGAATATAATACAGGAGTTCTAGCACAGCACTGTGCTGGAACTCTTGTGACAGGTGAGATGGGAAGAGCACTGCTCTCCCCTCTCACTGTCTACACGGAGCGGCAGGGTTACTTTTAACCCTGCCGCTCTGCTCCCCACATCGACAGCAAGTGAGCAGAGACTCGACGGCTGGAACCAGAGGAGAGAGGTAAGTGCGGGGGGGAAGAGGGGAGGACGGACAGGCTGCACAGATTTTACAAGTGATTGCGGCGACATCGCCGCGATCACCTGTAAACGTACGAGCGGATTCCCCACAAGGCAACTTACCCGTCGGGGAAATCCACACCGCTGCCGCCCCTCTGCGCCCTGCCGCCCCGAGGCCGGGCCTTGGTAGCCTTGTTGGAAATCCGGGCCTGCCTAGCAACCAATGAATCATGAGCAGGAAGTTATCAAATTCGTGATAGATTCCTGGCACATACATGCCCCAATCTGAGCACTGGCATCTCTCTGAATGCCAGTTCAGAATTGGTCTTAATTGCCACCAGGATCCTAACATGTAAGCTGTTTTTAAAAATATGTCACAGCCATGGTAGCAGGTTCGTAAAGTGGCAGTATTAAGAACTACCTGAATCTGTCACACATGTTGGAACTGTCGCAAGGCTTTCATGAATTGGGCGCAGATTGTTTTAAAGGGACCAGACCATCAGAAAAGTGTCACAAACGTTTAGCGTGACTGATAACTGAGAAGAGGGAAAAGTCATTGCCTGACTGCTCAAACAGGTAGTATAAAGTTCTATGTGACAAATGTAATGCCTTTTCACTACTAAAGAGTAACTCCAGGAATCTAAAAAGTAACCCTTGCAAGGGTTACTCAACCCTTGGACTTAACCCTTGCAAGGGGCTCAAATAAAAGTATATACTCACCTGATCCACAGTCCAATCCGGCTGCTAGACAGGTCCCAGCAGTTGCCCCCCCATGCTCCAGTGGTCTAAGCCCTGCTGACGTCATCATATCTTATGCAGGTCTATTTACCTGCATTAGATGTGAGGACAACAAAGGACATTCCATACCTGGAGGAGGGGGAGAGAAGGGAATACTCACTGCGGCAGGACTCAGGATCAGGTATATCTTCTGTATTCTGATGCCTAGACCAAAACAAGCAGTTAACCATTGCAGTGCGGGGCTAGTCCCACTGCGAGGGTTACTTTTTACATGACTGGAGTTTCTCTTCTCTTTCTCTGCCCATCAAAAAATACACTTGTCCATACCTGATAATTATGGATGGCACCTAGATTCCTTAATAAACCGTCACTGCTCTCCAAAGGGTTAAGCGGCTTCTATAATGATCTCATGAAATCGACAAGTAACTGTGGATTCCTAAGAG